ATGGCAAACAATTCCAAGGAACTGAAACAGTGGGAACCGGTTCTCAACAAGAACCGGGTTTCGATACCCATCCCTACTCAGGATCTTCAATTCAGTTCATATAGAGCCAGTTCATAACAACAGTCGGCTCAAGGTGACGTCTCAAAGCTACAATTCAGAGTAACAAGTTACATTGTTTCTCTGTATTCCCAACGTTTTTGGAAAGCTGAGAAACAAAAACAATTTAGAACAAACTTTAAATTAATAAGTTCATTAAATGATCTCTGACTTGACCAAAGTCTGGTTAGTGGCAGAAGCGAATGAGTGTTTTTACCATTTAGCCTAAAACGTTACACCAAAGGAAACTCTGACAGATGCTGAACACATCTCATTGTGCACATTTCATTCATGCACTAAACAAATGTTCCCATCTTTTTGTTAAAATCGGTACAATTTTAAAGGTTTCATACAGGGCGGTGTCATCGGCATATACACACACCATCCATTCTTTAACAACAACAGTGGATCTGGTACTGATCCCTGTGGAACACCTTCAGCTGAAAGTCAGCTGCAGTTTGAATGAAACATTTCCATGTAAATATAGTTTCTTACTGACAGCTTGAGTCACAGCGGTCCCTCGTTTATTGCAGGAGTTACGTTCTAAAAATAACCCGCAATAGGTGAAGTAGCAGCTTTATGTTTTACAGTTATTATAGATGTTTTAAGGCTGTAAAACCCCTCACTACACACTTTATACACTTTTCTCAGACAGGCATGAACACTTTCACACATTTCTCTCTTGTTTAAACTCTCACAAAGTTCAGACCTTAGTAGAAAAATAAGTCGAGTATTATAGGATGAAACCGAAGATCAAACCCTGTTTCAGGTCCAGAACATTTAAATAGAGCAGCTGTCAGAGAATTCAACATCAATGGATCAATGGTACGGAAGTAGAGGAAGCAAGAAGAAAGAGTTGAGTAAAGTTTGACTGTTTTGTTTCGCCTAATGTGCCTTATAGTCCGAAAAATACGGTAACTTTTAACTTCCTTTAGCATTAAGCAGAAGTCCAACTTCCTGTGCGATGGTGAGCGTCTTCCTCGGCCTTTGGGTGCTCCCACAGGAGCCTCTGACGGTGCAAAATGTTTCATCGACATCGTTGTGTTTGCTGGGGAGAAAACTTACAGTACAGCAATTCAGAGTCACACTGCTAGGATCGAAGATTTATGTAAATTTGACGAGCTGAACGCTGTACTGTACAGGAGACACAGCATGGAGGAGACTGACAGTGGTCTGCAGCCAATCAGGATGCAGAACACAACGCGCTGTAAGAAAAACAAAATAAAAAGCAAAGTTGCACAAAAAAAATCTGGTGAAGCGCGTTATAGCGAGGGACCAGTGCACATCACGGTTGAAGGTTTGGCAGTAAATACATTTGGAAGGATCAACAACCTCTGGCAGCTCATGGCCATCACACCAGCAGAGAGGCTGGATTTGCTTTTCACCGACTCGTTCGTCTAATTTAATCTAATGAATTTATTTCCAAATGAAGTGTTTTCCAACTAATGAAGAGATATGAGACAAGTTCAGGCAACAAACAAGAAAAAAGAAGAAAACAGGGAGTAACAAATGCTGGAGCTGCAAAGCTGTTTCATTAGTTCAGATTCATTCAGAACAGCAGAAGTTTGATTTTGGAATAACAAAGGACGTCTGTAGATGTAAAGTCATATACAGTCTGAACAAAGATGCAGCTACTCAAACAGCGCGTCCCTCCTCTCAGCCCACCTGCCGTAGCTTTGCCCACACGTTGGCGTCACTTTACTGTAAATGCAGCGTTTCTGATTCGTGCTCAAAGCTGAAGGTAAACCCTTAAAACGAAACAGGAAAGATAAAACCCTGCGTGGCTTCACAGCTGCCACTTACATGACCTGATCACATTTGTCAGTAATGATACGTCATCCTCTCTGAATCATTTCAGAAACAACGGCCCTCTGATGGAGACGCGCTCAGCACGCCATCCGCACTGTGACTCCTCCTCCCGGCGTGCCGAGGTGCCTCACCTCAAATATTTCTGACCGAACCCTCTTGTGAGACGCCAGCTGAAGCGGTCGCGATGCCCCTCGTCCGTCGACCGGGCTCGATGACTCACCCGTGTTTGTGTTTGTGAGCCTCAGACTTTCGCTCAGTGACGCTGATGTGTCAGACTGAACGCTGCCTCCTGATCACATGACTCTCAGCAAACACCTCTGTCTGCACCTCACCTGTTTATTTACCCACACCTCCACGTCACAGACAAACAGCTTTGAGCCTGACCTGGAGATCCAACCACTCAACAGAAAGTGTGCAAAAACGTTCACTTTCTTCTGATTGATCAACTTCCGGAAGCTTGCCGAGGGGCAGCTGCGAGATGTAAGCTCGTCACTCGGCAGCCGTCACAAGTGCATCTTATTTTGAAATGATATCTAAACGCAGCTTCATTGAAAAGGTCGCGAGACAAAGACACAGAATCATCAGAAACCAACCAGAGTGTGGCTTTCTGAGATGATGTCACTTTGGCGTTATTAGTCGCGTCACTCTCTGATCACCTGGTGACGCCACAGTGACATCATAATACAAAAACTGTATTTTCAAGCTTCAGCGTCACCATGTTGTTTTTTCAATCCAGAGGTGACCACATCTGGGTGACAGAGCAGAGTGGTCAGTGATGATACCGGCAACATCCAATCAAAATCCTCAAATTTCTCTAAACTGAAGCTCCGCCTTCTTAGTAAAGGTGAAGAGCTCAATTTTTAGCCATATTTAATTTGAATATTGAACACTTTGACTATACAAAATAAAAGTTCTTTACACTGAAGTCAAAGACTCTTCAGACGCCTCGGCTCCTCTCTGCAAACGTCATTTAAAGGTCTGACGACTCGTCTGAATCTTACCTGATAATAAAGCTTCATGAACTGACACCTGTGGTCAGTTTTTCTCTCTGCACTCAGACTTACAATGAAAACAAAACTGAAAGGAATATTTATCTACAACGTGTTTTTTAAACGGACTCGATGAAACGGCTGTTCGATGCGTTTAATGGGTTTAAATAAAGTTATCTCAGGTTTGAATGTTGATGTTTGTGACGCCCTGTGTTTGAGCGCGCTCAGTGTTTTTGTTTGTTGGACTCTAGAGGCGCGCCGCGCAGCAGGTTTGAGGTTTTCCTGTTGCCGTGTCGGCGAGCAGGCGTGGGTTAAACGTGGGCACGCAAGACGCCGTGAGGGTTTGACCTCTCCTCCTTTTGTCTCCCTCTCTACAGCTGTTTCTCTGGACCGAGCTGATCTGCATCTTAATGATTGACCACCTCCTTCTCAACCTGAACCCCCCGCCTCCTTGCTGACCTTTGACCTCACTGTTTGTTCAGCACCAGCATTATGGACCTCAGACTTTTTGGAGGAACTTTCTGCAGCATCCCCGACACCTAAACGCCCCGCTGTCTGCATCCGTCAGCCCAGCTCTGGCTCATCAGGACCGTCATCAAACCGCCGTCCACTTCCCGTTGCGACCTCAGCGAGCCGACGGCCACCACCATGTCGGAGGGGCTGCTGCAGGTGGAGATCCCCGATTTCGGCAGCAGCGTGTTGGGCAGCCTGAACGAGCAGCGGCTGCTGGGACACTACTGCGACGTCTCCATCCTGGTGCAGGGTCAGGCCTTCAAGGCGCACCGGGCCGTCCTCGCTGCCTCCTCGCTCTACTTCAGAGACCTGTTCAGCTCTGCGGCCGACTCCTCCTCCTCTTCCTCCGACTCCTCCTCCCAGGCGGTGTTCGAGCTCCCGTCCTCAGTGACGCCGACGTGTTTCCAGCAGATTCTGTCCTTCTGCTACACGGGGCGCCTCAGCATGGCGGCCAGCGAGCAGCTGGTGCTCATGTACACCGCCGGGTACCTGCAGATCCAGAACATTGTGGAGCGCGGTATGGAGCTGATGATGATGAAGGCTTCCTCTGCCTCCTCACCGCTCTGCTGTGACTCACAGGTGGGTCTAAACAGAGGTTAGTGGGAAACAGCAGCATCTAGTGGACGTCAGGAGAACTGCAGCTGCCACAGGAGACTGTTTGTGTGTTTTTCTTCTCTTTGTAACTGTATTTAAACGCTGGTGTTTACAGACAACCTCAGCAGACGAGCTCGGGGGCTTTGACACTCAGACGGCCCAGCAGCAGCAGCACGGCGCCCCCCAGCTGCAGGAAGTGAGTCCAGACCAGCCGGCGTTGAGCCCCGAGGAGCTGCTGCTCGCCGTCAGCAGGATCAAACAGGAGCGAGCTGATACGCCTCCTGCGGAGGAGGCCGGAGGAGCAGCAGGAACAGGAGGAGAGGAGACCAGGTGAGGAAATATTTTCTCAGTGTTGGAAAGATTATTCCAGACCGAGTCAGAGACGTCCCAGTCCAGACGCAGCAGGACCGCCCACCTGTTCAGTAACCAGATGGAAAAGAAAGAACAAATGATGCTTTATGTGTGTGTCATACATGATGTATTTATCTCATATCACACGCTCATTTAACGTCTGCGTGGAGGACTGCAGGAAGTCTTCAGGGAGAATTCCCACACATGTTTTCCAGGCCTCTCTCACCTCGGATGGGACGACTTCCTGCTGACCTGAGCTGTGGATCCAACACGTCGCTGTAATGGCAGCAATGGGGGAGACAGTGTGGCACAAACACACCCACTTCATTCAGGAGATGACAGGGGGGAGGGTCTACTTTGTGAATGATGAGTTGATGACCAATGAGGGTGCAGGGTCACAAAGTGGATAGATCTTTGATATTGTCAGGTTTTGCCTGACTAACTCTACGTATGAAGTTTGATATTGTGTCTGAGGCGACCAGGAGTAAATATACCTTTGTACCTGGGACTGATCCCTGAGATCTGAATCCCAGATAAATGGATCCCACCCTCAGCTGTGGACGAGTGCTTGGACCTTGATGAAGGTTTGTGATGTCATCTTCTCCTGCTGGTTCTCTCCTCAGAGTGGACATCGCAGCAGAGCTCCAGTCCTCCAGGAGCACGGCTTTGTGTTACCTGAGTGCAGGTGGGCTGGTTCCGGGTCTGCAGTCCTACCTGCTGGCAGGCGGGGGTCGCTCCAGTCCAGGAGGATCCAGTCTCCCCACAGACTCTCCCCCATCCCACCCACCCACCGAGGAAGAGCTGGAGGAAGATTACTACAGCAACGCTGTACACCCCGGACTCTATCAGCACATCTACGGACACCCCGGAAACCCCTACAGTGAGTATTTATCCACCACCCAAATCAATATCAATTATACATCACAAAATAACAAGAACAGTTCCTCACAGTGCTTTATATTGTACGGTAAGCAGCCTATAATAACGCAGAGAAACCCCAACAATCACATGACCCCCTATGAGCCAGCAGTTGGTGACAGTGGGTCATCCCTGGACAGACTGGGATAGGCTCCAGCCCTGCGCCACCCTGAGAGGAATGGATGGATGCAGTAAAACGTCGGAGTTCAGTTTAATACCTCCTGTAAAACAAAAAGGCAGTCATTGATAACAGAAGTCACACGGCCACTTCCTTTGAAAAATATGCGAAACATTTTCTTTTTTATTCAAATAGCATCCTGTAAACAGGGGCTCCGGTTACCCAATTCTCCTGTTTCCAAGGATACGTTTGCTGCCCTGAACTGATTCAAGCAGGTCTGTAGTTCATCTTTGGTCACTTCTGACATTTCAAAGTGATTAGAGAGAACCCCCCTACAAAAGCATTTGAGCCAGCCACGCTGAGGAGAAATGACACATGCTAAATAAGTTGTTGTCTTGAGTTAGCGGGGCCTACGCTACCTTCTGCACCGGCTACAGGGGCCTGGCTAGCTACGGGTGTTTCAAGGGTGCCGGAGTCTCCAATTCAGTGATCCTGGCCTCCAGAGCTCCAGACAGGCTGCATTTATTACAAGTATCATTACTGCTAAAGGAGGCTGAGGAGTAACTGAACAAAGTGCAGGAGGAACGGGTGAAGGGGCCATGCTAGCGAGTCAGCTACAAGCTAAGCTAAGCTAGCAAATCCTTAAAGACACAGTGAGTTTGGCCGAGCAGCGAAGACACACAGGAGAAATGTCTCCAAAGTGGGATTTTTTTATTTTACCTCCTAAAAAGTTTAAAAAGACAAAGTTCAAAATATAATTAATGGGCCCGTAAAAGAGGTCAGCTAAATATAACTCTACTCAAAAAGCAACCTACAGAAACGTAACTACCCAAACAAAGGAGACACAACTTAACTCACAAACTGACCTAAACACAAACACACAGCAGGCTAACCGTTTACACACAACAGGGGAAACAGAACAAACACCAATACTAACTACACACAAAACAACACTAAACCTAAAACAGTCGTGTTGCTGACAAGCACATGGGTGGCCCCGCTGATCACACCTTTACCCAGACAGGAAACACCTCCCCAAACCAGGTAACTCAAAGAAACTAAAACATAATTAACATAAAAGAATATATTTAAAACCCCACACAGTGCTAATATGTGCACTTTATAATATCACTGCTAGGTTTAACTTTAGAAATGAATGATATGACTGAAATACATGTTTACCTGCAAACCAGACTGATGAGGTGAGTGTGTGGACGGATTTCAGCCACCACACAGTCACTGACAGGATGATGTGTGTGTGAATATGTGACGATTACACTATGAAGTAGGACGTTAGAGGGGGTTGAGGTTTTGGGTCCTTTTGTCCTGTTACCATGGTGACTATGTAAATGTCATCCTGTGGGTTCTCCGCCTTTTTGCTCGTTTTCTATGTTTTTAATGTCCCTTCATTGACTCCCCGACAGGACTTGTTAACGTTCAGCTCATACAGGCCCCACTGATGTCACATATTAACTCAAACAGGTGAGTTTTGGCCATTTTACTTCCTGGGATTCCTGACACTCGCTCCCCTCCCTGTTTCTCATTGGTTCAGTCCAAGAGAAGATGGAGATGCTCTCCCTCCCATTGGCTAATGAGCGTCGGCCCTGCGTGCTGGTTGGTCGGGACAACATGGCACTTCCCGCCAGTCTGATCAGTCAGATTGGGTATCGGTGCCACCCGTCACTCTACACCGAGGGAGACCCAGGAGAGAAGGTGGAGCTGGTGGCAGGTAGGACAACACCTGTCCAACTGTATCTCAGACACCTGTAACCCAGCGTCATGTGACACACGCTCCCCTCTGTGTTTGTGTGTTCAGGTTCAGGTGTGTTCATGACCCGAGGTCAGCTGATGAACTGTCACCTGTGTGCTGGAGTCAAACATAAGGTGCTGCTCAGGAGGCTGCTAGCAACCTTCTTTGACAGGTGAGCTCTTACCTGGGTGAGTCACATGGATGCAGCAGCTTAGTTTAAAGAGAAAATAAAGGTTGTGATGCCTTGTGGCTGGTTTAACTAAACCAGGATTAGGAACTAAAGGTAAGTTTGTTGAATCCAAGTATTTGATTTTCCTGTTAAAGTTTAAAGAACCAAACATTTATTTTTTCTGTTTTTAGGTAACTTACATATCTGATGAAAGTTGTAAAAGTATTGCTACAAACATGAGATTACTTTGAGTTGCTGGTGTTTCCTCAGCACAGGTGGACAGAAGTGTTTATGAAATCATTGATGAGCTGATGCTACGCGGGGATTTCCTGATGTTTTACTTTATGCATCAAGCAAAAATCTAATTCTATGCAACAGTCTCTGACTGGAAGAAATGTGTTTAACATTTAAACTAGGGCTGGGCGATATGGCCTAAAATCCATATCGCGATATAATTTGAAGCACATGCAGTAATGATATATATCACGATATATTCTTTTCTTCTGTATAATGTGTTTCCCACACTTAAAATCCTTTAATTTTCTCAAAAATCGAGAGTGCGCCTTATGTATGAATTCTGGTTGTGCTTACTGACCTCGAACTGTTAAAAATGTTTTAGTACAACTTTGGTAAGCTGCACTGCTTGATGGATTGTCAGAGCATTACGGCTGCCATAGTGAGGAGCTTTGTGGAGTAATCTGGGTCCTAAACTCCGTCAACTTCAGGTCCCAAAGTCAAACGAACATTGAGAGTAAAAAACGGTCTAAATTCTTTCATCTTTAATAAAATGATCAGTGTTGCTGCTTTAGCAGGTGTAACAATTAAGTTTAACATCCATGAAAAGAGAAGTTATTAAATTTAAC